TATTTTTTGCTGCAATTTTCAAATGGCAAGCCAGTTATTTAGACAACTTAGTTGTATCTAAATATAGGAACGTCATCCTATTAACATATGTATGCATATGAAAGGGGTTTTCACGGGCATCGCAAGTTCCCCACGGTCCATGGAAAACAGGTTAAGGCAGTCACGTGCTGCCTTATACTACTATCAGCAAAGTCTAGGTGAAAAACTGCTCACACTTTAATGCAATTGGATACGTTTTAAAAAATCCCCTCAACGGGCGTGGCTAGGGTTAGTCTTCCACGCGGTTCAAGGCCCAACCATTTGTATTTGCCATATTTTAAATTATCAATTGCAAATTTATAATTAAAAGTTTTGCAAACATTTTGAAGCAATTATTGCATAATTGCGGTTGGAAGTAGGTGGAAAAAAAACAGAATTTAACAACATTAATCGCTGAGTTTTTTGTTAAATCCCTGTTTTTATATCATTAATTAAGCGTGTGTACGTAGGCTTTTCGAATTGGGGCGGGAAAATAGTATTATCATTTTCATTTCAATTGGCCGGAAGTCATTTTCCGTCTGTTGTTGATGTTGTTTTTAAGGAATTAATGAGGAATTCTAGTTGTGTTTTTTAGGCCCATATCATTATAAAATAAATAGAACGATTAAATTGTATTTGTTTGTCAAATTTATGTGGCTTTAAAAATATAAAAAGACCCTTGCCAGCAGACCACAAATTTAATTATATAGCAATATAAGAAATTAGTATAATTTGTACTGCAAATTTGCTAATAAACGTTCCACGCCCTTTTCAGCAGTCGTCTTATTTGATTAGCAATATTTAAAATTAAACCATAACGATATGGGCTCGAAATGAGCTCGAGGGGCCAATCTCACCAAAATAAACACAATGCTAATGGGGCCTCCCCTGATTTCCGATTTATGGGTTCACATCTGGACGCTTTTGATAACGTTTCAGCATTCGAAGCTGCCACTGCTTAATTATTCATCACTTTAATTTAATGTCTCTGAAGTCGTCTTCCAGGCTTCATATTTTAATCAGAAATGGCAAAATTACAAGCCATTCCAAACAATTTCAGAAAACTTCAAAACAATGCAAATAACTCTGCCAGCGGCAACCAATCAATTGCGTTGGCTACAATATACAGTAACTTTAGGCTTTCTTCCCGGGAGAACATGCCACGAGAAATAACTTAACAAGTGATTAGCTGCAAACAACTTTTCAGCTTCAAAGTCTGCCTGGCCCTCCCATCCCATTTCCACTTTATCCTTTTCACCAACAAAAATTAGAGTCCCGCTTTTGGGGCTTTTTTCGCATAAATTATTATTACGCCTAAATTTCGGTTAGTTATTCCCCGACAGCTTTGAATAAATTTGGCAAGCCATTTCCCAACAATGGTGGAAAACTAGAACAGCCCCCGAATTCTTTACTCCCTCAATTCGGTCCCACCCAATTGGCCTTTAATTACCGCGAATTCACATACAGACAAACGTATGTATATAATTAAGAATGATATTTATAATCTGATTCATTCCACTTTCACATATAATTATCACAAGCGACTTGTGATTGTGATTTCTCGCTTTTTGTGTGGGGTGCGATGCGGAAACGTCTTTATATTGCTCAAATGCATACGTTAGTACGAATAAATGAATGTTAGCTGGCATGATGCTGGGCTAGTCAGTAATTAACGAAACAGACTAAAATGTCTGACTGTCGTTTAACTGCGATTTGCGTTCTAAATTATCTTCAATGAACTGAGACTATTTATGTAGATTGGTTACAAAAGGCAAAAAATATTACAGTATCTGGTCTGCCAAGGTCGAATATATGTAAGTACTGAGAAAAGGATTTCTGAACCACCCCAGACTTTCTTTCAGATCGTGACTGTCATAAAATATATACAAATAAAATAATCCAAAGAGATGAACATTGGAGAAAGAAATAATTGATATGATGGGAGTTTCTTTGATCCTGTTGATACCACAATACTACTAAAATAACAAAAAAAATGTCTTTCTGGACACCAACATAAAATTAAAATAAAGTTTGTCTTGTTTGTCAATAAATAAATAATCTACTTATTTGTTTTGCCATTTAAATTATTTTGTAACTTTTATTTTACATCGCAATAAATCTGTTTGCATCCAATTTTAAAATTGAGTAAATTCTTAATTTGTGAAAGCAAAATGGAAAATAAATAGGGATACTTTGGCCAAACTAATCAAAAAAAGCTGCCTAAATTGTTATGTACCTACATTGAGACAGGTGATAATAATAGTCGGATATGTCGAATTCCGCATTAAGTTAAATACACAAAAAAAATGTAATGACCTGCAAGGATACAGCAACCTAACAATATAGATCGTTAAGCTGAAGAAAAATATTTAAAAACATATATAGTTCCAACTCCAATAGAATATCTTTATAAAACTTTATAAAACTTCACTTTAACTTTTACGTGTAATAAACGAATCGCCAGCTTTGGTAGTTTAGATTGGCTTAAACTAGTTTAATACTAGTTTAAAGCAGCGCTATTGATTTCCATAAATTCTTTATGGGTGTCATAGATCAGTACCTCTAGTCCACAACAGTCCTCCTCCAAACCGAAGTAATCTCTCGGGGCTAGCTCTTTAAAATTCACACACCAACGCGGGGTTAACTTAACGAGAACACCTGTGGATGCCGAGAGCTTTGGAATGAAATCGAAACAAAGCCCAACCGAATGCGGCAAGCGCTGACGATGAACTCAACTGGGCTTTAGACAAAAGTACGTCAAGTTGGCATGGAGAGGCACGGAGAACTAGCGAAAAATAAATTTGCTATGAATTGGAGAGGGTTTGACAGCAGCTACACAATGGTCATAATAATGCTTCGCTCACCTTCACAATTATTAAGCATAACACCAGATCTTAATTGATACAACTCACGAACACCGGTACGAATTGAACTGTATTGGTTTTGCCCTAAATGCGTAGTTGAAGTTTGTAAAATCTATTTACAGAAAGTCAGTTACATTCCAAACTGGCCGCGCTGCTTGGAGGTCCCCGGGTGCGCATCTTCCTGGTCGGGCTTGGCGCTCTGCTGGTAGACCAGACCATCCACGCCTGGGATGGTGTTGCATCCAACGCAGGCGTGCAGGGTCTCGTGGATGAAGATGTCGCAGTCGACGCAGAAGAACTGCTTGCAGAAGCCGCACCTGAAGACAACCTTGTCGGCGACCTGTCCGAGGGCCTTGGCGCACGCGTAGCATTCCCTGACTCCACCGCCGAGGTCGGAGGAGGAAGTCGGCATTGCCTCGAACGGGAGTTCCTCAAAGTTGGGCACCGGGAACAGGTGGTGGTAGGATCGGGCAAGGTGGGGCGCCGATACCAGGGTCAGGCCGCAGGACTGGCACTCTACGGGCAACTCGCAGTACTTGCTGTTGCACTGTGGACAGTGGTGGCCAGTGGTGCACAGTTCGCTGGGATCCTCAAGGTTCTCTATGTGGCACATACACATGGAAAGCGGCGCATCCTTGCCCTCCACTTCGTTCTTAGTGTGCGGAAAGCCCATGCGAATGAGGGAGTTGTGCTGCGTCTTGGCAGCAGGCGGCGGATCCACCTGGGACATAAGCTGGTCCCGAAAATGGGCGTCATCCAAAACCGCCCCGAATGTGCCCATCGTCTGCTGTGTAAGGTAACGGGCCACGTGAATCTCAGCCGACAGGGAAATGACCGAGCAGCGTATTCCCTCCTTCTTAAGCTCGTCTATGGTGAGGTTAATGTCCACAGGATCGCAGGTGGTGAGCGAGCCCATAATAATAACGATCTCGCGAGAGGCGTGCGACGGCACTACTTTCAGTGTTTTTAGAGCCAGATCCAGGCCGTTCTGCAGCGAAGGTTCGCTGGTCAGAGACAAGTTGGCTAGGCTGAAATAGACCGCAGATAAGTTGCCAGAAATCGTGCAGTGAGAAGGGACCCACCTCTCTAGCGCCTTGAGGTGGACTCGCGAAGTCCCGGTAAGCTCAGTCACCTTCTCAGCCCTCTTCGCCTTCAGGGCTATGATGCCCAGCTGGCTGATGGGGTTCTGGTCGAAGAACTCCTCAATGAACAGCTCCAGCAGCTTGACAGTGCAGCGCAGTCGCGTAGGCTTAAGATCAGGAACGCTCATGGACTCGGAGCAGTCCAGCACGAGGAACAGGTGGCGCATCATTCCCAGGCGGTTCTGCTTGGTCTTTTGCGCCTGCCGCTGGCGCTTGGCCTTCTGGATGATCTCGGCAATGGCTCCATCCAGCAGGCCGTCGTCGTCGTCCTTGATTGCTTCCCTGAATATACCAAAAGTGACCAAAAGTTGGGGATGACATTTAATCGCTCGCCTAACCATGTCTTCTCGTAGCCCGTCTCCCAGCGGTATTCCTTCTGATCCTCCTGCTCGTCGTCGGCCATGATTGCAGTCAATTTAACGTGCCAGCAGCAAAATTAAACTAATAAAACAAACCGCATCGAAATGCACCGGCAAAAGGTACAGTGTGTACACACTGTGCCAAGAATAAATACAATGGACTGGGTTGCCACACTGTGTATTCACCACCAACAAATTATTATTACTATTACTGTATTTTAAAATATTTGTTAAATTTTAAGTCTATTAAACATTCTAAAAACATTTAAACAAAATTTAAATATGTTTATCATTGCGTAGAAAACAAAGTTACCACATCGATAGATAATTTCACCATACTGCGTGATTGGCTGACGAAGTGCACCGACACGCGGGCGAACGGAAAAGGGCGCTACACTCGAAGTCTAGGCATTTAAGAGCAGAAAGCCGTATATTTAAATGAACAAATTTTAAAAGAAAAATAAAATTTAAAAATGGCTAACCAAAATTGAATAAATATTTTTACACGCCATTGCAATCGCCCTAAGATTTCGTTAAATCCACTTACAATACAGAAGCGCATACAAAAGTTAGCCTAGTCGGTAGAAAATCATCTCTGACCACTTTTCATGCACCCGAAACAATTTTGCTTTTGGCATTCAGAGTTCGCGCGTACAATTGTGCAGCAGCGGTGCGCTGCGCGTGTTGAAAAAATTTGGGAATCAGTTAAATTAAAATTATCATTACCGTTCAAAAACTGTATTCAATTTGATTTTGCAAACGAAATTGTTTATGAAGGTGTGTACTGAAGTAATTCAGCAAAACTATTTTAAAGATCTTGTGGGAAAGGCAAACCCTATTCAGTGGATGCAAAAATTTTAGCGGGCAACATGAAATTGTATAGGTTGTTTAAAATGTAATTTATTATTATGAATATAACAAGTTTAATGGTCAGATCCATCCATTGTGTTACTTTCTCTTAATATTGTCTGTTTATTATATGCAAGTGTTTAACTTAAATTAAAGAACTTAAAAAAAAATGTGTTTAAAAAAATTGTGTTATAGTACATGTTGCACTGTAATTACTTTTTAAAGAGTTCTTTATGTGGGCCTTAGCTGGTTCATATTTTATGCCATTTAAAGTGTTATTTTTTTTTTGTTCCGAAAGCGCCGCTGCATTCTGCTCATTGCAGATGTATGGATGGTCAAACCCACCATACCGGGCACACACCGCAGACGGCGACAACTTGCGTTGCCACCCCGGCCAAATTTGCGCAAACACACCACGGCACTGTACTTTTTTCTTCGCCTGTTAGTTGGGTTTAAAAACCAAGCAATAACAAATAATCTAAAACAAAATCTACCATACTATTAAATAGTACAATTTTAAATGCATTTCGCAGAGGCTTGGGCGCTGGGGTCGTAAATAATGTTGGCACAGGACATTGCACCTACGGAAATAGGCAAACACGCAAACATTATCAGAGGTAAGTGCCCGAGGAATATTGCGGAACTGTCCAAATGGTCAACTTTGTTATTTTGCAATGCAGCTGCCCAGGAAGAATTGGCAAACATGGACGTTCTCGTATGCGGACGATGCCTGAGGGCATACAACTTCGTAGAAGAGTTTCAGGTTCACAAGGAGGATGCCTGTGAGAAGGAGAACGCGAATCTAAAGGAATCGCTGGACACCAAGCCTACTATCTGGGCATTCACTCTGTGGAAGGCCACACAGCTGCATACGCGCAAAGACGCCAACTCGGGGAGTTCATGGGCCCTGTACCAGCACTGGGTGAAGCTGGAAGACAGCGTCCGGGAGCCGTGGATCGTGGCTGGAAAGACCATACAGTCCTTCGGCAAGATTGCCCATGGACAGCTTCAGGACATGCCGGTGCGCATCACTAAGACGGTGGTGAATCCGAACAATAACAACACGTCCAACAGCAACAACAATACAAGCGTCTCTCCCACCAGAAGTAATTAAATACTATAGAATAAATATAAAATTAGGTACTAAACTTTGCATTTGTTTTGCCAGAATCCCCGGCCGGTAAGCTGCCCACTTTGGCCAATCAGCTGAAGGACACGGAAAACGAAAGACCTAAGTCCAAACCCGGCACGCCAACGCTTCCCTTAGTTCCCTCCGCCGCAACAGTCAAGCCTAATAACCGAATAGCCATTCGGATCGATGCCAAAACAGAGCAGCGCACCGAAGAGCCAGTGGAGAAAATAGTGGCCAAGCGTTTTAATCCACGCAGAAAGACCCACGAATATTTGGTGAAGTGGGTGGATCGGTCGCACCATGAAAACACCTGGGAGGTTATGGCCAATCTCGAGCGAGTTCCATACTTCCTGCAGATGTTCGAGAAGCAACTGGCTCGACAAAAGCTGACAAGGGAGAAAGGTCTGGACGCACTCAAGCGCATGCAGCCGACTGGGTCATCCTCGAAGTCGGATTCAGCGCCCCCACTCAGCCCGGTCCCGGTGGCTTCACAAGTATCGCCATCTTCTCGTCCCTCGCGCACTTCCAAAACCAAGGCCATGGACTCGTTTAAGCAATGGGTCAACGAGACTGGTGGCGGGGATGGTTCCTCTTCGCCCTCGTCGGCCAACGAGGATGAATCCGCTACGGAACAAGAATGGCCCCCGTCGTCGGGGCCGGTCAAGCGCAAGCTTAACCACACTGATTCCAGTCTTGAGGGCAGCGGGCTGAACGATTCGATGGACCTAGAAGACCTCGAAGAAGATCTGCCGTCGCACACCGTGAAGCGTCTAAAAAACGGAGGAAGCTCCGTGCAGTTGAACAAGCCACGGGTTCAGCCCACGGAAAAGCAGCAGACTAAAATCAATGGCAATTCCACCGTGTCTGTAACTGATCAAAGGATGGGTGAGATCATTTACACGGAGGATAGCACTAGCTCGGGGATGTTTCGCAAACCCGAAATGCCGAATACCCTGCACCTGGTAAATAATAATGGCTATTATATGGAGTTAATTTTCTAACTATCCTCATAATCCGTTTCAGAAAAAGGAGAAACCAGAGTGTCCCGTGCGGTATCTCTCGCGTTCTGAGATGTCTAGCAGCACGAGAGGTGTCTTCCGGGTTGAAAATTCTGAGGCGCCCGCCCCTGTTTCACCTGCAGCCGCGCCGTTACAGAAGGTCAGCTCCGCGCCCGTTGGCGTAGGCGTAGCTAAGCGCCTGCCTGTGGCCCGACCTGCCCACTCCGGTGCGAACTCCCCCATTACTGTGGGTCAGCGACAACAGGTGCTGCGCACCCCTGGACAGGGTCCCACGACAGCAGCAATCCAGCGCCGACATGCTGTAGGGAGCACACCACAGGTGCGGCAGAACCAGCAACAGACACCGGGACGGGCACACCCGGGAGGTCGAGTCCTAGCACGCGCCGGAGTCGGAACGCCTCAACAACGCCAACTTGCGCCGTCTTCGCAGGGCGCCAAGGTAGTGACGCCAGAGCAGAAGATACTTCAGCTTTCGAAGTCGGGTGACTTGAAAGTTACGCGCAAAGTGGTGACTCGGGAAGAGCTAATAGCGCAACGCGCCGCCCAGGCTCGCCAGCAACGCCAGGTGCAGGCCCAGCAACAGTCCTCCCAGATGCAGAAAATGACTCCTGGCCGGCAAAGAATAGCTCCCAAGCCGGCGCTCCAGCCAACGCCATTACAGATGGAGTTGGAGGAGGAGGTTCATCAGCACCAGGCTCAGCTGTGTCCGATCACTGGCAAGCTTATTGGCCAAGAAGAGACCCAGTTGCAAATGGAGCAGGAGCAGCAGCAGGAACAACAGCGAGAGCAGTTGGAGGCCGCGGCACAGGCGCTTCTCGGCAGTGATCAACAAGTTCTTACCAATGAGGACGGCTCTGCACTGCTGGTTCGGGGAGAAGACGGCACGGTCTACCAGGTGGCCGGAAAAAATGCGGAGGGTCAAACCATTCTTGTTACCCAGGGTCCGGATGGAGAGCAGCAGTTTGCTTACGTGGCAGCCGCCGAGGGTGAAGACCAGGATGTTCTTTCTCTTGACCACGCAGTGGCCGAGGCCGTTCAGGCCGTAGAACAGGTTGAGACGCATGGAGTCGCAGCTGCGACGGCGGATGGCGAGCAGATTCTAGTGTCCATGACGGAGGAAGAGCTGGCGCAGCATCAGGTGCTTCAACAAGCTGAGGCTTCTGCCGCAGGCACAGGAACACCGGCCACGGCCCAGATCCATATCACGACATCCGACAGCGATGGCACGGAAGCCCAGATACCGGCCGAGGTGGTGCAGGCTGATCTGCCTTCACCAGGTAAGTTGCGATGATTGACAATTAAAAAAATCCAGTTCACAATTATTGTATTTTTTTAGGAGGTACTCGTCGCGTCGTTTTGTTGCTACAGGATGGCACCTTCATGATGACTGAGATGCACGAAGAACAGTTCAAGACACTCAACATCCCGACGTAAAATCATGTTAATAGTCTTCAAACATAGATTTAGGCTAGTTTATAAGCCGATATTATTAAAAGGACCGACGTTGCTAGGTTTCTCCCACCTTCAGTTCGGTTTAGCCCTAGCCATTTTCACACTGGAGACCGCATGTAGGCATGACCAATGACTCAGGGCCGTGATTGCCAGTGGTTTTAAGATCATTATTTTGTTAAGAGCATACCGGGAATCCATTGTTGATTACAAAGCTGATCTTTAGCCAAACATAATATTGCGTCAGGAAAAGGCAGGATGACAAAATAAATTATGCGAATACATAAACTACAACATTATTTAATCGTGGGAAGGCTTCTGCAAATAATCTAGCGGGATGTCCATATATTACGTAATCATAGTTATTATTGTTTTCGACTCCTTTATTTAAACAAAAATTGTGTTTAGCTGACCTTTCCCCATCAACGATTGCGTAAAATATGGACCGCCTTTTAATTTACAACTCTTAGAACTTTAAGACAAGCTATTTAAGTACTTCATCAACTCTATGTCGTATAATCTTTCAAATGTACCACGAAATGCAAGCCGCAATTTTGGCACGAAAAATTAAGATACAAAAGCAGACTTACAACTAAGTAACATTACGATAGATATCAATTGTAAATTATTTAAGTAATTTTAATCTAGACAACTAAGCAGATCAGGATGTTTATTCATTTCGAAGCTATAAGCAGCTATGGGAGAGCAAAACCTAGATCGTTTTTAGTCGGCAACTTTAAAAATGCTTTCGCAAGTGTAGAGTTTGGAATTTCCTTTAAAGTTTACATTTGCTAAGCCGTTACTTTTATTCCTTCAAACGAAGCTCTATCCGCGAAGCAGCTTAATTCAAGAACTAAAATAAAGCGAAAATAGCGAAATAATGAACCCAATAAAAAAGATTTCAGTGAACATTGATAAATTCATTTATTTTTCTGAAACTTGGCAATAAAGAATCCCACCGTGTCTGCACTTGCTTCGCTGGGTCCAAAGCGCTGTAGCAGACGGGACTTGGATGCATCCAAATCGGGAAGCGGAAATCCCGGACCGCCCAAGCGGGGCGTTGCATCCATCAGGTGGAGGTCGTGAAATTTCTCCAGCGCCCAGGCCACTATGCACTCGCACTCGGCTTCGGTCACGGTGCACGTGCTATATACGAGGATGCCGCCAGGGCGCAAAAGCTGGACTGCTTGCCCAAAAAGCCGTCGCTGGATGTTGGGATACGAATGCAGCACTTTGGCCTGTTTGATACTGCAGGACAGCTGTGGCCGGTTGCCCAGGCCACTGCAGGGGGCGTCCAGTAGGATGCGATCAAAGCTGGCGCAGTGAAAGGGAGGAACTGTGGCTGGTCCACTGTGAGCAGCCCCCACGGCCACTGCCTTAGTCGAGTCAAACACGTGGGCCGTTATGCTTTTGTAGTGATCCAATTTGGGCAGCATGCTGCGCACTCGACTTGTGGAATTGTCAAGGGCCACAACGGATCCCTGATCGCCCATCAGCTCGGCAATGTGGCCAGTCTTGTTTCCGGGAGCGGCGCACATGTCCAAAACGCGTTCCCCGGGCTGCGGGGCGAGGACGCGCACGCACACAATGGAGGGCAGGTTCTGCAGCAGGGCGTCTTCGCTGCTCAGATCTCCCAGCGAGGGCACTCTGCTAATGTTAGATTGCATTTCCACGGCAACTCCTGTGGCTGGTTCATCGGAGTTGTTGAACAGCTGGTAGCGCTGCATAAGCACTTTGCCCGTGCCCAGGAAGATTTTCTCCGGACTGTCGAAGCGGGTTACAGAACCGCGCTTGCATTTTCCACCCAGATCGGCGTAAACGCTGACAGCTTCCTGGAGCTGAGTGTTGGATTCCATGGCAAGGACGCCGGGGGCGTATATGTGAGCACCTCGCAGTAGGGCGGCTCCGCAACTAGTGTCCACTATTATCTCCTTAAGCGCGGGATCGACGGAGGCCTCGGAAAACTTTGTGACCAGCGGTTCAATGCACAACATTTCCGGCAGGTTCGGCAGACCATAGACCTTTGGGGATTCCTGGCCGTAGCGATCAGCGAGTTTATTCTCCAACTTTTCCCGGAAGGCATCAACCGTTATGCGAAGAGTATTCACCCGGTACGTGGTGACTTTTGGCGTCAAGCACAGCCATTCCAGCAGTGGAGCAAGACCAGCCGTCTGGACAAAGCAAGGAATCAACGTTTATCAAATTGGAGTGCCAGTGTTGCCTAACAAGTGCAGACATGAAGTGTGTCTTACCTACATTCACTTTCAGGATCTCGCTTTCCAACAGAGGACTCCCCAAAAACGGAGATTTTGGGTAAAACATAAGAACGGTGGATAAGATCGTCTTTAAAGGCAATTCAGATCACCTGTTTAATAACGTTATCGATTTCCCTTTAGTGTAGTAATACTTTTCGATTATTCCAAAGCGATGGAAACTCTGCCCGAGGTGGTGGAGAAGAGACGTGGCAGCATTTAACCGAGTTCTCACCACTGCACTGTAAAATATTGTCGTCTCTCTCTAGCACATGGCCCGACAAGCACTGCGCTGCGCCCATCTCTATCGGCAACGTTTATGTTGGTGAGTTTGCAGTTCTTCAACAGCAAGTGTATTCTCGGTCGAGTTTTATTTTGCTCTGTGATTTTAGACATTTCCAAGCAGAAGTTTTTAAAATTTCCGCTCCAATTCGTGTGCATTTGATTCAAATAGTTGGTGCGTATTTGTTTTCAGTCGCAATCAGGGGTTGTATGCAAAAGAAGTAGTATCTTTGCTGGATTTAAGAACTTCTGCAACAATGTGGAAGATGTCTGTGTGTTCGTATTGGTGTGGGCTATTCCATAGACTGCAGACACATACTCACGTAGCGTACGCGTCTGTGGGGAGTAGTGAAAGTACTAGTATTGAAGGCGACCGAACTTATCGCCGCCACTTTGTTTATTGAATTTGAGATTTAGGAATTAGTGACCCAGCCCTTTCCAATATTTATTGCTAATTTGATTAAAATTGTATAGAATATTTATATAATAGCTAAATATTTGTCGACTTTGGTCCACTAAAACAGTGCCTTTTGTTCATCGCCTATCGGACGGGTCTTCTATCGATACATTTCTCCCCATTATCTTTCTCTTCACAATTCGGTGTGTGGTGTGTTTGGCAGCAGAGAAAATTCAATGAAAGAAAAATCCACGAAAGAAGCCTGATCAATCGGTAAATAAACGTGCAATGTGTTTCTGAACAAATCACATTCTAGTTAGTAAATATCCGTGTACATTGGGACGAAACATTCTGGTTTTCCAGAAAACAAGGAAAGCCGCCGTCCCATTTCACCAACCTAGAAGGAAAAAGCGTACGTCACTCACACAGACGTAGGCAACCACGTATAAAGTTTAAAGTTTTCTGATCCGAATTGAAAGGCCTAATCGCGAAGGTATCACCTGGCCAAAATGTATGTGGTCAACGTTGAAGTGTGACGTCGTCGACTTGGGCTCCGTTTGGAGCTGGAATTAGACGCAACGGGCAGGGCTCGGCACAGTTGGCAACCCTGGCGCCTGCAGATATGTATGTGTGTGTGTGTGCGGGGTGTCGGTGTGTTAGTGGGTTCGCCCCGCTTCCCGCAGCTTGAAATTAAAAGCTGCTACGTGTAGTTTTCGATTTCGGCTGCTTCCAGCCCAACTATCGTCAGCTGGCATCAACATCTTCTCCAGAGCGTAGGGCGTCTTTATTTGCGCATTATTGGGGATGCCACAAAATCTGTAGACATTTTAGAAAACATTTAGATAACTATAAACGGTTTTAAACCTCTAGAGATTTCCGTATGTTTCGTTGGCAACGCATAGCTTTTTGTGTGGGCGGGGGCTGAGCAGGCGTACTTATTGGGCTCCTCGAATAAAACATTATTTGGATTGCAAATTCCAGCTCAATGGCAGCGATGACTCATCGAACAGTTTAGAAATACTCACCTCCGCCTTGCTAATTTTGCTTAAACCTGCAAATTACCTGGAAGCAGGCCTTATCATTTACAAACTTTTCAGCCCGCACGTTTCTTGAAAACCCAGTGTGGAGTTGGAAGTGGGCAGTGGAAGGTGGAAGGTGGGAGGCCACATAGCGCCGACAGCGCCGTCATAGCTCTATACTAAAAATCGATATCTTATCAGCGGCAGCCGTTGGAGAGCCACACATTGAAAGCCTGCGAATTGTGCTTCATTCACCCTGCCTTTTGCGTTATTAATAAGTGAGCAATTAATTATATAAACAACTTTTTAGAGTCTGGCACACTTACACTTTTCTAAAGCAACAGCTTTAGTTTAACAAAACATCGAAATTTCGTTAGCGGCTCGCTTAGCCTCTTCCGGCTTTTATTATGACTGACTCAGTTCAGGTTAATAATAACAACACGTCAGAGCGATCGGGTAACACAAAGCGATTCGTAACATCACAAAGCCTTTGCTTCTCCCGTCGTGCAGTCCAGTCAGAAATCTCCTGGCTTGCCACATAACAGCTGTGCCACGGATAATGTCCAAATATAACTCTCGGTTCGATCGGTCTCTTTGCAGATTTCTTCAGTCCAAGCACACAAGTCCGCAGTTGGCATATTCTGATCGGTATTGCAACTCGGATTTGAACTTGTCATAATTCCAGCCAGCAAGCAGCGAGCAGGCCAACTAGAGATCCGTGTTCCAACGACTTCTTTTGAGCATCCGAAAGACAAACAGCAGTCATGGGAAATGTATTTGCAAACCTGTTCAAAGGCCTCTTCGGCAAAAAGGAAATGAGAATATTGATGGTCGGTTTGGATGCCGCTGGTAAAACCACAATTCTGTACAAACTCAAACTAGGCGAAATTGTTACAACGATACCTACCATTGGTGAGTGGTCTAACGCCCCGTGTTATTTCCTAGCTTATATTTTCCGATTTTTTTTTCCTAGGTTTCAATGTGGAGACTGTAGAATACAAGAATATTAGCTTTACAGTGTGGGATGTGGGCGGCCAAGACAAAATTCGTCCCCTGTGGAGGCACTACTTCCAGAATACACAAGTAAGTGTAATTTCAACTGAACTCCAGATTCCAGGAGATCCTAGATGATGTTAACAACTTGTAATGAATCATGCTGTGATTATTTAAAGTTTATTTTGTTTCAAGACGGGACTGATATTCTATCAGACATCCTAAAGATTGTCGACCCGAGGCAATTCCCTTGAGTAACATTTGCATCTGGCTTTTTGCAGGGTCTTATCTTCGTCGTGGACAGCAATGACAGAGAGCGTATCGGGGAGGCGAGAGAGGAGTTGATGCGCATGCTGGCGGAGGACGAGCTGAGGGATGCTGTCTTACTAATATTCGCCAACAAACAGGTAGGTTCCGGCACAAGGATTGCTATCATTGGCATTCGCTGCTGGTTTAATTGAACATATAAAATTGTTCTTAAGTTGTTATACTTCTAATGCACTGCACTTTCCTCCATAATCATTGTAGGATCTGCCAAATGCAATGAACGCGGCCGAAATCACCGACAAGCTCGGATTGCACTCACTCAGAAATCGCAATTGGTACATCCAGGCGACGTGTGCAACCAGCGGTGATGGACTCTACGAGGGACTCGACTGGCTGTCCAACCAATTGAAGAACGCTAATCGCTAATTAAACACACTACAACTAAAGCAACAATATGAATAAAACTAACTCTGATTTCAAGCAAGCCGAAGCAGTAAACCAGCATCCAGAACCACACAAAAAGCGGCTGAAAAACATCAAACAGGACGGTAATCGGTGGAAATCGACATCAGAAGGAATTATCACAAAACAGCAGCGACAACAACACCAATAACAAGAGCAGCAGATCTTCGCATAACTTAATGGGCTCCCCTGGCCGCCGTATTTCCAAACAAGAAACTGAATTGTTTATTGTATTGCAAAAACATAACTTTTCAAGCAGCATATAAAAAACGCTATAATTTAATTTAAATTCTTATACATAATTATTGGATGTTTAAAAGCAAAACGAGTAAATGAACCCCAACCAATCACAAGAGAAAGGAAAACTATAGTATATGGTAAAAAATGTCTTTTTTAAGTTATTTTTGTCCTCTCCCTCCCCCTCATCAATATATATTTCTTTTTAATTTTATAAATATAAAAGTAATATTAATGAGAAAAACTGTAATTGTAATTGCTCTTTAAAAATACAACAAAAACCATTTTAATTTTTAACTCTTTTGTTTCTTGATGTCGCTTGGCCACGCAAAATCCATAAAAACTCACGCATATATATAAGACCATATTAAAAAGGAAAGTACTACTTAAAAGGTAATTTGAAATAAAAATTTAACATAAATGAAAACAACTGCCTTGCTAAAGATTATTGCAATAAGTTTTAAAAAAGTCCACGGAAAATCGACCGTCTATCGATACCATAACGCCATTCACCACAGTGGCCTATCGAAGTTAACCAGTACTCTTCGAACGTCGGAATTCAACGTTTACCAACACTAAACGAATAATTGGTGTTAGGACTGAAAATTGTCATTAAATTCTATAAATTAGCGAGATATTAAATAAAAGAAATATACAGCATGTCCGCCAAGCAAAATTCGAAGAAGTTCAAGTGGGCACTGGACTTCAACGTGAGGTAATAGTTGAAGTCATGCAAGTTGGGACATCTTTTCACCCGATTTTTATTTTCATTGCAGCAAAAATGCTGATATTCCATCGCCGCTGGGCTACAATCCCTCTGCCCTGGTGAACCAAAGCGAGGTGGTTCGCGACCAGCGCCTGGTGATCAAAAAATCGTGGGACCTTGCCCTTGGGCCTTTGAAGAACGTGAGTACCAACCCCATTTAGAAGTCCCATGGATAACCTTTGGATTCGCCCTAGATACCCATGAACCTGTTCATCATGTACATGTCCGGCAACTCGATCTCCATCTTCCCCATAATGATGGTCGGCATGATGCTGATTCGGCCCATCAAGGCCATCTTCACCACCCAGGTGACCTCCAAGATGGCCGAGGGAGCGCAGGGGACTGGACAGCGCATAGTCTACTTCCTGGGCAACTTGGCCAACGTTGCGCTTGCCCTCTACAAGTGCCACAGCATGGGGCTGCTGCCCACCCACGCCTCCGACTGGCTGGCCTTTGTACAGCCCCAAACGCGCCTGGAATATTACGGCGGAGGAATTTCCTTCGTCTAGTTTTACATATTACACTGCTTTATTTCATCATAGATAAATTTGTTTAAACTGAAAATAGAGACTCATTGCACCTGTCAGTCGTCTAGTATCTTCTTGGCCTCCTTTTTGATGTCGTCCACTAATTTCTCGCCGGGCGATCTGTGCAAAGAATTAACGCATTAATTTGGTTTATATTTAAAAATTAAAAACCTATTCACATTTTCCTAATATAATGGTCACTCGGTCAATACTATCAGGAAGTTAATCGATACATTTGAATGGTCTTGGCTTTTTGATTTAGGTCTTTTGTTCGGTTTCACGCAAATCGTGGTTTCGTCAAATTTTACATGATCTTCGAAAAATTATAGCCACTTTTGATTTCGATTTCCGCTTTTCCAATTTTTCTTGAACAGAAATTCTTTACGTCTTTAAGGTCCCTTTTAGCACTCCTTAATGACAAAAAAGGCGAGTCTAAACTGACTGAGTTTTACATGCTGAACTTTTATACAGTTAGGATTACAAAATGTCGGTCAAGAGATTTTATTAAATTTAGTGACGGTTAGGATTCCCATGTGCAAAACTACCAAGGCCGTTACTTGTTCTTGCTTTGGTCCACTAGCTCCTTCACTTTTTCGTTGAGACGCTGTATCAATTTTTGGGGATCATCTACTCGGGGGACCTACATGAATCGGAAAGATAAGGATCAGTTTATAATGCAGAACTGAATTCTTACCTCATAGTTTTGTGAAACATAGATGCCAGTATAAACCCCGGCTCCAAAGGTCAACTAAAAGAAAGAAAAAGAAATATAAAAGAGGGTGGTGGAGTAGGGTACTATACATTATAATAGTTCAATGTTTCGCAGTTTCTGTGTGGGACACTCTCGAGGAAGAGGACTACGCATGCTGACCGTGGAGAAGCCCAGCACTCGCTTGAAGGTCCAAAATCGTTTCTTAGGGCAGCACGGCATGGGCTCCTGGATTTCCGGGGGACAGCAGGTATTTGTTGAGCGGCTCTGTCCGCCAGACTTGAGCCTTAACACTCGCACCCCAAGGCCAAGCAGTTTCATTTCGGTTTCAAGTTCAATATAAACGATCAATTTTGTCAGGTTCCTGTGGCTTGTCAAAGAGTCTGGATCTGTGTTCTCCTGCTGTTTAAGTCGTCGACATGATTCCCAAGGAGAAGCTGATTGTTTGATTTGGTTGATACCATAGTTTAAGGGCCTTATATAACCTTTAATCCTATGCCACCACATCCAAGCGAACAGTTTATTTAGTGAGTTTCTATGGCCAGTCAGTGTGCACACTGGGCAAAACAGCAAACAAAAGCGGAGGGAAATTTTGAAATGAAATTCCGTCAATTTTTATTTCAATTACAAATAAAATAAATTTGCAGAGGTTTTTTTTTCATATTTTGAAGCTTACGTGAAAATTACCACTATTAATTATTTCAATGTACATCCATACATATATAAACGTACACGCATACGTATCTACGTTTATAAAGAAAGAGTCGAAGAGGCTTTTTTGTTAAATATGTTTTCTTTGGTCTATGCCACTTTTCTGGTTATTTGGGTTGTTATCTTTTCCATTTTGTCTTTTACTTATAATCGCAGGTTACTTTTCTGGATTAAATATCGTTTCTTTTTTTGGTGTGGTTCGCATAAACGTTATAAAAATAATTCATTGTTTAATATAATTAAAAAAAATGAATTTCCACTACATAACACATTTCGCACACTGTGCCTCGGCGCGTCATCGCCGCAAAAAGCAGTCCAACAATAGTCAAGATTTTAGCTCGTTTACAGAAATGCAGGTTATTTTGGGGAGATGTATGTATTACTTCACAAATGTTAGAGCTTGTTTGGATGAGGAACTTACCAAAAACTTGAGCATGGTCGAATAGTTAAAAGCACCTTTGTCGCCCGCACCCGCCAGTGTGAGTTTTATCAAAAGTGAGAATGTGCGAAAAAACGTCAAAACGGCGCGAGAGAGCGCGCTGCTTCAGCTGTGCTGCGAGCTGGAGAGAGTGTGACAACAGCTGACTGGCTCACTGGGATTGTCTCAGCTGTGATTAGATAATCGCTTTGACACTGATAATACTTCTGCAGTTAACTGCCTACTGAACACTGAATTTATGCTGCAGTAAATTATTTTAAAGCTGAATTAACCGACTGCGACACTTCTGGTCAATTTAAAACGGATAGCAGGGCAGCGCGAAGATGAGCGAAACGCTTAACGGCCAACGGTGTTGCCACTGTTTTCACTGAACATTAATTTAGCCACCTTTGATTTGACCGCCATCGCATCAGATGTTTTCCAACACTACTAGTATCTGTGGCCAAATACAGTAAAACCCCAAAACTGTAATTTTCTACGACTTACAAAATTCTTGTTTTTTGTCTGCAAAAAGACATGAAATTATTCTAAGGTTGCTAAAGCTTATTCTGTATACAAATTATATTTATTTTATAAATGTGTTGGTGGTGTTATTGTAGTTCCAAAGTAAATAAAAAACCAGCTATGATGGACGAATTGCGATTTAATGTTACTGTTAAGGCTATGTGTGTTCAAGACGAACCCATTGCACTCTCCACGGCTATGGCTACATAAAACTAGGCCAGGACCGCTGGACGTGTTTTCAGGTAAACGAACAGTACCAGAAAGAGCGCCAGCACGCCCACCGCCGGCAGCACCAGGGTCCGAATTTTGGCCTGGCTCTCTAAGTTGTCCAACTTGCGCTCCTTCTTCTGCTTGCGCGTCTCCTTCACCTTGCCCTTCAGCTGGCGCATCCTAGTGTTCCTTAATTAGAAATTAAAATAATTACCAATTTTAAAATACGCTGGTGACGTGTGGGATTACGCGGAGTGCGTGTGCGTGGAACAACAAAACAGAGAGCGATGTGCTGGCTGTTTTTGACGCACAACAAGTTGTTTCTGGTATTTTATATATTATTTAACTTTTGTCAGTCTACGATGCTGACAGTTTCTGCCGTGCAGTGTTGAACAGCTCCTGACGATCAGTGCTGCCATTTTAAAAATGTGAGGCGCGCGATTCAAAAACAACACCAACCGTTTGTAACCCAAGAGGATTCCTGCACATTCTGGTTAAAGAACATAGTTTGATAAAGCGAACCTTGGCTTATTCTTATGCCAATATGTAAATAAAAAAGTTTATCTTTAAATACAAATTAAAACTAGGAAATTAAAATAAAGATATTTTAGTTGTAATATTTCCAGCTTGCAAAATCAAAGAATGAGAGGAACCACTTAAATAATTTACTTGGCAATCATGTGATTTCAGCTCTCTCTACCTATGTATCCAAAAGCCAAGAAATCTGTATATTTTAAAAGAGTTTTTCGAACTTTTTTGTCAACTATTTTGTAACAGGACATTTGACGTAAGCGTCCTTTATTGCGCTTTACTAAACGTTCCGATATATCTTTACCTGAGATATATTATTATGAAAAAACTATTTTGTAACAGGACAGTGACTTACACGGCACATTTGACTTACATTTTTATACCCTTGCAGAGGGTATTATAATTTTGGTCAAAAGTGTGCAACGCAGTGAAGGAGACATCTCCGACCCTATAAAGTATATATATTCTTGATCAGGATCACCTCCTGAGTTGATATAGCCATGTCCGTCTGTCCGTCTGTCCGTCTGTCCGTCTGTCCGTCTGTCTGTTTCTACGCAAACTAGTCTCTCAGTTTTAAAGCTATCGGATTGAAACTTTGCACACACCCTTCTTTCCTTTGCACGCAGTATATAAGTCGGAACGGCCGGGTCGGCCGACTATATCCTATAGCTGCCATATAACTGATTGATCGGAAATGCCATAACTTTCGTGTTTGTAAAGTTAGAAAGTTGGGATTTTCTATGGGTTTTATATTTGGCCAATCAATCCGACCCACCAAATTTCATAAGGATCGGCCGACTATATGCTATAGCTGCCATATAACTGATTGATCGGAAATGCCATAACTTTGGTGTTTGTTAAGTTAGGAAGTTGGGATTTTCTATGGATTTTATTTTTGGCCAATCAATCCGACCTACCAAATTTCTAAGGTCGCGACTATATCCTATAGCTGCCATATAACTGATTGATCGGAAATGCCATAACTTTGGTGTTTGTAAAGTTGAAGTTGGGATTTTCTATGGATTTTATTTTTGGCCAATCAATCCGACCTACCAAATTTCATAAGGATCGGCCGACTATATCCTATAGCTGCCATATAACTGAACGATTGGAAATGCCATAACTTTGTTGTTGTTAAAGTTGAAGTTCGTTTTTATGAGTATTAAGAATGCATCATATGAATAATTTTGAGAATATAATTTACAGAGTATTCTGCGTTATCCTTTCCCAGTTGCTTTCCTTTCTTGTTTTTATTGCGCTTTACTTAAAGTTCCGACATATCTTTACCTGAGCTAGTATTTTCTTTGAATGCATTGTGGCGTAGCACTTAGACTGCCCGTGTGGCACAGCTTTTGTTACCAGTTTAAACGTGCGCCAGCCACACGAGAGTGCACAAGCCTAACCCATATTTTCCTTTAATTAGCCTGCCCCGTTAAGCCCTTTAACTGTGCCCCGTGGGCCACAGACATCAGATATGCCAGCGACTGTTGCACCTTCACCCCTAAATGCGATTTCGAAAATGTTTGAGCAGTTCCAAATGCTCCAAGGGGTCGGGTCTTTACTTGGGCTTCTTGGGCGATTGCCCACTGGACATTCTGGTTGCTGGACACTTGAAGCAAGCTTTAAAATATGCAGCCCTTGGGAATAAAATACTTTTGATACATAACACATTTTGGAGAAATATCGCGTATTAAAATTATTGGACAATAAAAACGGAAACTAGTTTTTGCTAAAGATAAACATTTTTTTAATGTTTATTATATAGGACTTTAGTTTCCAGTGTCCTTTTCCAAGATTAATTTAGTTATTGTATACTAGTTTTAATTTGATAAAATAAAAAATATTTATTGAGAGTAGCAGTTGCACGAAAAACACTCCCTTCGAATTTTTCCTTTTGTCTAAAATCATCTAAAAACGTTAGATAAAAATACCGGGAACAGGCTATGATAACAAGGCTTATAGGTAAGTATTTAGGGTTTTATATGAACCTAATTTTTAAAATTTTACATATTTACCTATTTGGGTACGTACCCTAACCAGAAGCACTCAGTTGAAATGCGTTTAAAGTCGGTATGGGTTTAAAATTGATAAGAGACCGGGATTTCTAAGATATTCTGCAGTGACAACAAAATATATTATTATTATTTATCCATTTGCCACACGCTGTTGGTTTATAACAGTTAATCAACAATAACTAGTATATTAACCAGAATCTCTAGGTTTTCTGTCTTCGCAAGCTATCATTTTTAAAAATAAGGATAAGGAAAAACTTGACAAGCAAACAATATACATTAAAAAGCTTATTGCTGCATCGTGTTTTGGAAATTAAATGTGTTGTTCGCTACAAAAAAAAATTCCGTCCTTTTTTTAGTGTGTTTTGTAAAATTTTTTTTATTTTTAATAAATTAATATAAACATAATTTGTTTTAAAGAATCCAAGAATTTAAGATATTTGCATGTTTCAGTACTCACGAGAGATGGATCCATTTTAAGGAACCCTTTTTTTTAAGTGGTAAGTATTCACAAAATAATAAATAATGCAACTATGTTATAGCTATAAGATCCAATTCCATACGAATCCATCATCCAAAATTCAGTAAAAAGCGCAGTAAAATGTGCTGTAAGCTTTTTAGAAGTAAAAATAGTAGAATAATACCGTTTATAGTATTTATATGTTCCCAAAATGCTTTTAATATGGGTGCTATTAGTACCTTAAAATCAAGGTAGCAATGGCTATAAGATTTGCGTCATTGCGGCAATGTAATGGCTCCAAGCGAAATGTTTGTTAAATATATTAATATGATAACTCTTTTAACCGAGTGGTAAGTCATCCGCGATTGGACTCTAGACAATCTGGCTGATGGACAATTGATGAAGCAATAACATTGCTGAATGCTGGCCGGGAACCGTAGCCAATCAGTCGGGACCCACTGCCAAGTTTGTGCATCGGTAATGAAGCGTCGCAGTCTGCCGAACATTTTGGTATCTAATTTCGGCCATTACCATAAACGGCAACTCGATCAGTTTGGACACGGATTATTGGCAACTATTTAGTCGGCCCCCAAAAAGGCCTAGAGCTCCCAGCTCGGCCGAGTCTTCACGTCAGATTGGACTCGATGCGCACGCGGCTGCCTAAAAGTCATGTTCCCGGCCAAGCCCAATCTTAGTTTCCTGGTTCTGGTTACCACAAGAAAACTCTCGGCCTGTTCGTTAGCCGGCTGGTCAACTACACAGATAAAAAAAATAAATATCAAGATCACACGCATCACATACACCTATAGTTTGTTACTAATGCTTATAAGCTTTTAACATAAAACAAAAAAGAAGCTGGCTTCGGCAATCCAAAGTTCATATACGCCTGCAGCTGTTAAAAAATTAAAAATTCTATAAAACGCCTGTGTTTTGATTTTTATAATAGTTCGATGAACATCCGATTATTATAAAATTAATATCGTAATTATGAAATTATTTAAAATTACTAAAATCAAAATATCTGCTAATTGCAAAAAAATGTACTTTAACATTTTTTTCATTTGTTTTTTCAATTTGTTTAATGGAAGCTATAAGACATAGTCTTCTGAGCCTACCCGTTCCGACTTTCTTTCTACCTCCAATAAAAAGAATAATTTTTGAAAATAAGAAGAAACTGGCAACCGGACAAACGGTGATGCTGATCAAAAATTCATACATTTATACATTCACTACTACCAAAATAGACCTTTCTGTGTTATTCCGGATTGTGTATTTGTGATTTAAAATGTTGGACACAAATAAAAAGTAAAGTAATATTTATTTAATATTTTTTCACTTAGGCATTAATATTTTTAAATTTCGTAATAAAAATGTACAATAAAATCAATTGGATACTATTATATCAATTTTACAATAATATCATTCTCATACTTAAATATTAAATATAAAACAAAAACTTTTTGTAAACAAAATTCTCGAATGTTCGCACAGATAAATAGATGCTTAAAAACGAATAAGAAATAGTATTATCCATTTTTTCCAGTTTATGTGTTGTCGTTGATTGGTCACTTCGGCGTCCGTCCGCCTGGTCCACCAGTCTGTCCTTGGGGCCAGGAGTCCATCTTTTAGTTAAACTCCATGTTTTGATTGCCAAGTCGTAAAATGATGGATTACCGAGTTGGGATTTATTTCTGGTTACGGTCATAATAGATTATCTTTGCTCACTCATTGTCAGAGCTGCTGCGCTTCCACCAACTGCCCCTCCCAATTTTCTTTCCAACTGCTCGTTAGCTTCCGACAGGCGAACACAGCCTACCGTTTGTTAAGGAGCTTTCGAGCCGAGAATCTTGTCGTCGGCAGATTTGGCATGTTGATGGAGCATGCCTAATCACAAGGCCTCCGATCGCAAGCGAATGAGCAAGCTCGCAATCAAACGAAAGTATCTGAGGTACCACGGCAATCCTTTCAGCGCTAACAATCAACTTTTATTGCCCAAGTGCTTACACACAAATAATTAAGTTCAATGTCAAATGGACTTACATGTTAATGTTAATTCAAGAAAGAAAGTACACTTAAATAAGCCGTGTATTTTATTTATATACCTTTGAATTTTAATTTTTTCTATGACAGGTATGAGGGTTTTATAATTTTGGTCAAAAGTGTGCAACGCAGGATACATTTTCGACCCTATAAAGTATATATATTCTTGATTAGGATCGCGTCCTGAGTTGATATAAGCATTTCGGTCTGTCTGTTTCTACGCGAACTAGTCTCTCAGTTTTGAAACTTTCCACACACCCTTTGCACGCAGTATATACAAAAGTCGGAACGGCCGGGATCGGCCAACTATATCCTATAGCCGCCAAATAACTGATTAATCGGAACTGCCATAACTTTGGTGTTTGTAAGGTTAGGAAGTAGGGGTTTTCTAAGGGTTTTATTTTTGGCCAACCAATCCGACCTACCAAGTTTCATAAGGATCGGCTGACTATATCCTATAGCTGCCATATAACTGAACGATTTCAAATGCCATAACTTTGGTGTTTTTAAAGTTAGGAAGTTGGGATTTTTATGAGTATTAAGAATGCATCATATGAATAGTTTTGGAGCATATAATTTACAGAATATTCTGCAAGGGTATATCAACTTCGGCTCCGCCCGAAGTTAGCTTTTCTTTCTTGTTTTCATACCCTTGCAGAGGGTATTATAATTTTGGTCAAAAGTGTGCAACGCAGTGAAGGAGACATCTCCGACCCTATAAAGTATATATATTCTTGATCAGGATCACCTCCTGAGTTGATATAGCCATGTCCGTCTGTCCATCTGTCCGTCTGTCTGTTTCTACGCAAACTAGTCTCTCAGTTTTAAAGCTATCGAGTTAAAACTTTGCACACAGCCTTCTTTCCTTTGCACGCAGTATATATGTCGGAACGGCCGGGATCGGCCGACTATATCCTATAGCTGCCATATACTTGATTGATCGGAAATGCCATAACTTTGGTGTTTGTAATGTTAGGAAGTTGGAATTTTCTATGGGTTTTATATTTGGCCAATCAATCCGACCTACCAAATTTCATAAGGATCGGCCGACTATATCTTATAGCTGCCATATAACTGATTGATCGGAAATGCCATAACTTTGGTGTTTGTAAAGTTAGGAAGTTGGGATTTTCTATCGGTTTTATATTTGGCCAATCAATCCGACCTACCAAATTTCATAAGGATCGGCCGACTATATCCTATAGCCGCCATATAACTGATTGATCTGAAATGCCATAACTTTGGTGTTTGTTAAGTTAGGAAGTTGGGATTTTCTATGGGCTTTATTTTTGGCCAATCAATCCGACCTACTAAAGTTCATAAGGATCGGCCGACTATATCTTATAGCTGCCATATAACTGAACGATTGGAAATGCTATAACTTTGGTGTTTTTAAAGTTAGGAAGTTGGGAGTATTAAGAATGCATCATATGAATAATTTTGGAGAATATAATTTACAGAGTATTCTGCAAGGGTATATCAACTTCGGCTCCGCCCGAAGTTAGCTTTCCTTTCTTGTTATATATACAATGAATAAAAATTTAAATTAAAATTCAAATGTTTGTCATAAATAAATCTGTAACTGATTAATTGCATTAACAAGAATTACGTTGTAGGTAAAGGAAAAAGATACAAATTTTTTTTTTAATTCAAAAGGAATTATAATTAAGAATTAATTATTAATACCCTTGCAGATTTTTCCAAAATAAAAAAAATTGTTGACTACTAAAAAGAAGGAGAGCGCAAATTACAAGATATAAAGTTTCTAGGCTCCATCTTTTACTTAGTGCGAAATACTAAAATATAACCGTATGGTTGTGATGAGGATATATCATATAACAGCTATAGGATATAGTCAACCCATTTTGATCAAAACCCAAGGAATGGCTTCTAAACACTAACAAAAACCTAATTTTGGTCAAAAACCAGCAATTTATACACATATGTATTTAAAAAAACAGCAGAATTGAACAATTTTGAGCGACTACTCATATTGCAGCTATAGGATAAAGTCGTCCGATCGGCAAGATTTTTTAACATGATCAGTGCTTACATACAAAAATACGATTTGTTCCAAGAATCTATATTTTACATACGGTTACGGTATGCAGTATGCCAGAACTAAGCCAACTATAAAACCTGATCAGCGTACATATACTAAAATATGATTGCGAAAGTTTTGAATCTTTCGCTTTTCAAACTGAGTTCGCAAACGGTTATAAACAGGCGGACATGGCTATATCAACTCGTCTAGTAATCCTGATCAAGAATATATATAATTTGCAAATCTATAAATGTCGAAAGCATCCATTTCCGACAAATTTGTATAATACCTTTTGCAAGGGCATAAAAGAATTGAATGTGAAACTTTTTTAATCTAAGAGTCTACAAGTGTATACCTTATTCCTTTAACTTCTGGTAAAACTTTAGCAATTTCTCAAAATTGCACGGTGTCAGACTTCGGCTGGCCGAGTTAGCTTAAAGTCCTTTTTACTACTCAAAAAGATCCCATCAAAGTTTAAAAGGCGATTCGGTGTAGATACAGCATTGATGTGGTAGATGAGAAACAGTTCTTGGTTGTACCGGTGCAAATTTAATTAAACGAACTTAAAAGTATTTGTATGTAACAGCAGGGTAGAAAAGTGCTAAAGGGTTGCAGTGGGTCACTGGCGAATGCCAAAGTTAGCGCAATCTATTGCTCTATGCGCGACTATGCACTAGTAACAATAATTTGAATTCTGTGTAGTTCTAGCCTAAGTAGGCGGCGTAGTACCGGGGCGTGGCTGCCAAGGCGGCAGCCTGTTGTGGGGCATGGATGATTTTGGCGAAGGCCGCTGGCTGGAAGAATCCCACGGCCCCGGCCGGATAGTATGCGATGGTTGGAGTCACCGGGACCGCCGGCACTGGAGCGGGGGCTGGACGTGGAACTGGAGGCGCCTGGGGCTGCATCACCTCCACCTCTTCTGCGGCGTCGTCGAGGTCCTCCTGCGCCTCGCTATTGGCCACCAGTCGAGCGGGACTTCGACTGGCCCGCTGGCAGGGCAAACTGCCTGGCCGGCTTTAAGCCCGCAGCCGGGTAGGAAGTCGCCCCCTGCTGCTGCTGGAGGCGCACGCCCTCACCCGCCCGCACCAGACCGATCAGAAAGAGGCCGGCGAGGAGCCAAACAACCGTCGAGCTGCGTGCCATTGCGATGACTGTGTGGCGCTGGGCGGCGGGCCGGAATATATACGATCTGCTTTAGATTCGGGCAGCGCGCCTTCGAAAAACAATTTTGACATTGACCCCAAAACCGAAACGAAGCCGAAGCCGAAGCCGACGCTCAAATCAGTCACCTGATGCACCTGCCGAGCAGTGCAGTCGCCTCAAGTCGCCCATCAATATGCAGCCAATGTTCTAAGTTCGCCTGGTTGTTGTCGCCATTTGATTTGGTCATTTTCCAGTCGTCAGTGGCCAGTGGTCAGTGGCCAGCTGATTATGCAGATCGTGTTAGTAGCAGTTCAGTCACGTCCGCGCCCGACACCGTAAATTAAGCCATCTGCTCCGGCGTGGGCACTCGAAAGTCCGAGGGAATGGGTTATCTGACATAATGGCCTGCCTCAGATCGGCTCGGAAAATTGTTTTAGATCGCGTGGCCTGGCCGCAAGGCACTTGGCCATTTGTCCGGATCTCCGCTCGCTAATCAATACAAAGCGCCTTCATTTGCTCCCATGCCAGGAGGACACTCCCCCGAACTGCGCCGCATAAATTCGCCATAAGTTAGGCTCTCCTCCGGCGAACGGCGATGAGAAATGCTCCATAAATCCATGTGCAATGGCAGCCACTGCCTGCCCGAGTTGTCTAGCCCAATATTTACAGCAATTTCAATAAAAATGCAGCAGCAAATTGATGTAATTAATTTATTAAATTACATTTGCCACTTTTTGCCGCCGCTTGCCTGCCGGTTTTCCTCATCCCCATCCCCGTTCCCCATTCCCATCCCTATCCGCCTCACGACTCAATGGGAGGCATCTAGAAACGGACAGAAGTCGGTAGTTGGCAGTCAGTTTATGGGCCAGAGAAACTGCGTTTGGGCCGAGAAAAAAGAGAGATGTGTCGTCATTATGTGCCGGCAGTCTGCAGATGAAAATCGACTGGCACAACAGGGGCAACTGTACTGCGGCTCGACAAACATTCTGCCATTGCTAATTGGCGAAACTCGCATCCCAGCTGAAACCCGAAATTGGATTTCCAGAGCATTGTTTGTGCGTTATCCCGGCCAGTATGGCTGCGTAATTTTGGAGAATTCTAATCTGCCCCGAGTCCCCAGCCAGCCGGGTTCATTTGCACAAATCGAGGCTGCCGCCCAAGTCTGTGCCTCTTCTCGGAACTCCAACGGAGTCCATATGCCAGCGAAAACTGGGCGTCATATTTCAAGGCAATCGGAGGCCGCTAGAGCGTCCACGCATGCGTCGTTGCCCCAGCTTCAGATTCAGACTCAGCTTTGAGCTTCGCCTTCTGCACAGCTCATCCCCATCCCCATCCCCATCCTGATCCCCATCCCCATCTCCATTTCCACTCCGACTTGTGTGGATGCTGGAGCTCTGAATTGATGCGCCCGGTGCACTCACAATTAATATTCGACTGGGCCAAGGAGACGGTAGTTGGCAGCGCGGCCAGAGATTTCTCTAATGCCCGCCCGGTTTTCAGGCGCTATCACTTGATTTATTTTCTCTTTTAGTGTCTTTTATTTTATGATTTATGCAGCCACTGGTCCACCAGCCCTGCACCTCACTCCGCTGTGCTGGAGGTGGTGATCATCATCATCCCGGAGCGTCCCTGGCTGACTGCAATTGTGCTGCTCGTCACGTTCCTGACGACGTCGATCTGCTGACTCAGGAGCCCCCCGCGAATGGACAAGTGGCAGAAATAGACAAAGGCGGCGTTAACGACAATTGCGCACTAATTATCGCCTCATGCGATGCGCCGGGTTGCGGAGCGCATTGGGACTGGGACTGAAAAGCATTCCTGGCGGGCGTGAATTGAATTCCCTGCATCATGGCCACGACGATGCTGGTGGTGATGAATGGCTCGAGGATTGCCACCTGTCCGGTGTTCGATGGTCACTAGTAACTACTTCATTTAGAAACGAATGGCTCCGCACTGGTACTGGGGCTGGACGGGTCGCGAATTGATTTATGGCGCTGGAAATTAAAGTTGCGCACACTTCTGCGTGAGTTGCAGGAATGCAGCCCGCTCATTAGCCGGACAATGCGTTGGTATTTGGGTTAGCTGCAGGGCGTTATTGTCCGTCATGGTTACTAACGGCGCTGGCCAACACGGAAGCGCTGCACTCATGAAAATAAATTCTCAATTTAAAATTAAAGACTTGGAATCAAATAAAAAGTTTTTGTTTTTCTTTTCCTTGAAAAGAAGATAACTTGATAGAAAGAAAGGTATATTTTATATTTCTGTACTTTTTCATTCAAAGCGCTTTAAAACTAATGGACTAGTTTTCGTAGAAAGGGACAGACGGACAGGGCAAGAATATATACAGGGTGCGCCATATAGACAGGACCTAATGAAATGTTGAATAACTCCTCCATTTTTTAGCCCATTTTGGAAAATAAACAAGATTTATTTAAGGTATAGAATGCCATTTTGCAATTCACTCAGAATACAATATCGATCAAATGACCGCCTTCATTAGAAACACAAAAAGCGGCCCTTTTTTGGGCATTTCGCATTGTATTTGACAACATTTCGGGCGTAATAGCAGCAATTTCCGCTTTGATATTAGCTTTTAGTTGTTCAATAGTCGAATGGGTCGCGGGCGATTAGCTACAGACCCGTGTTCAAAGAAATTTTTCACCAAAGTACGAATTGTCTTGGCGGAAGGTGCCGTATGTCTCCCATATTTCTTACGATAGGCACGCACAGTTTTCACAATTGAACGATTGCTTTCGATGTACAGCGCTACAATTTCAGCCCGATTTTTTGCTGTGAGTCGATCCATGTCTAAAATGGCATAGGCTGACGTTTCAGAATCTGGCTGGCTTGTCAAAATAGGCTGAAAAATGGCGGAGTTATTAAACATTTCAATAGGCCCTGTCTAGATGGCGCACCCTGTATACTTCATTGGGTCGGAAACGCGCTCTTTACTGCGTTGTAAACTTTTGACTAATATTATACTACCCTCTTTAGTTTCAGGTGATTGGTGTAAAAACCTTTTTCCAAAGAAGTAATAAAAGTGAATCTAAAAAGTTTGAGATGCCAATCCTTTTCATCATATTTTAAAGATGATTATATACATATATTGAGTTCTACCGAAATATCTTCAACATAAATTTCATAGATATACAGCTGCAGGATATTTTTGTAAAAAGACAGATCGGGCTTAGAATATTTTACTTCTTCTTACTCCTTCATAGACGAATCGTTAAGATGCACTTATAGGGGTATCCCTTAATATTTAAGGTAACTTTTATTTGTTTAAACCGTTATTGTTTTATATAATCTAGGAACCAACATTTTAAACTTTGTACATAATGAAAAAAAGACAAATCAAATTTTAATTATAAAAAAAACATAATTTTCTCCTTCCTTTTAGAGCGAACCTTTTTCCACAAAACACCAATCTATTATTCATTGCCCAGTTGGTACATATAAAGGTTTGCCAAACCGAAAATTTCCGTTAAGTCCACTACCAAAACCGCACAAAACATGCGTCATTTTGCCAATTATAAAATGTTGTTATTACATTTAAAGTGTGATAGTAGTAGAAAAAGTGGGCGTTTGGTAGTTTACCATTTCCCCATGAAGCAATTTGTAAATAAAACGCGGCAAGCTTTTATTTAACAAGAAAGGAAAGCTTACTTCGGGCGGAGCCGAAGTTGATATACCCTTGCAGAATACTCTGTAAATTATATTCTCCAATATTATTCATAAGGAGCATTCTTAATACTCATAAAAAATCCCAACTTCCTAACTTGAAAAACACCAAAGTTATGGGCATTTCCAATCGTTCAGTAATATGGAATTTGGTAGCTCGGATTGATTGGCCAAATATAAAACCCATAGAAAATCCCAACTTCCTAACTTTACAAACACCAAAGTTATGGCATTGCCGATCAATCAGTTATATGGCAGCTATAGGATATAGTCGGCCGATCCTGGTCGTTCCGACTTATATACTGCGTGCAAAGAAAAGAAGCTAACTTCCGGCGGAGCCGAAGTTGATATACCCTTGCAGAATACTATGTAAATTATAATCTCCAAAATTATTCATATGATGCATTCTTAATACTCATAAAAAATCCCAACTTCCGAACTTTAAAAACACCAAAGTTATGGCATTTTCCATCGTTCAGTTATATGGCATTTATATTTATTTTCTTGTTATTGTTAACAGAACAAATGTAACAGAATTAAAATCCAACTTGGACAAATATTTTGAAAATGTATGCAAAATATTTTTAAACAGAATTAAAAAAATTCAAGTTATGGCTAAATTGAACTTTTTAAACTCCGAGTCCCAAAATTTGTATTTATTGTCAAAGTTGTATTAACAGTAGCTAGGGTTTAAGAAGTTTTTTTTACCACATTTTTTGAAGTTTTTGTTGTACACGGCGGGACGAGACACATTACTTCTATCTTCGGTTGCAATCTAAAAGAAGGCGACCAGATCGGGATTAAATTCGTTTGCACGAATTTCTTTTAGAGTACAAAACATCTTTTTTATAGCCTTGTTTTCAGACTATATGCTCATCCCCAAAATTGAAGGTTTAAAGCCTAGTATGCTGATCGAAAAACAAGTTTGCCAGCAGAAAAACTTGAATATTCCCAGTGTGACAGACGGACATGGCTAGATCGACTCTCCTGGTGATGCTGATCAAGAATTTATATACTAATAATGTATAACTTCACTTATAATACCCTTTGCAAGGGTATACAAATAAATATAGGTAATATAAGGTTTATTTTGTAGTTTGCCCAAAAATGTAATACCACTTATTGTTGAGGTTTAAGACGAAATTTTATTCAAACTGATATTATAATACTCTCTGTAAGGGTATAACCAGATAAAAAATACCAGGCGAAACGTAATTTACACCTTAAAAAATTGCTACCAATAAATTTGAAGTGTTTTTTTATCGGGAGTTCAACTGCTGCGAAACTTTCATCACTGGATAAAAGTGTCGATTTAATTG